GGTCCCTCGGAGGTCGAGCATCCGGAAGAATCGGGACGTCGTCGGCAGCTCTCTCGATGACATTTTGCGACGGCCGTCTGTACCAGTGTTGTTCCTGGCGCCCGTGGACTGACATCTTCGATCGGCAATGGTCGGCGTCATGGAAGAGTGCGCCAACGGTCCCCTTTTGCGGTCCGGTCTCTTCCCCGACGTCGAAAAGCGGCTTTCTTGCGTCGCCGCCCTTGTCCCCGAGCGGGAAGGCGCCCAATGGTCGCAAAACTCGAATATTTGAACCGTCCCCTGGCCGGGCGATTGCGCAATGTGTTCACAAACGGAATGCGTTACTGTGCTTTTGTCGTTCGTTGCGGTCAGGCGTTTGCAGCGGTGTCTGTCGCCGTTACGTGATAGATCCCCCGTTGTCTACTAGCTGGCACTGTCATCCACGTGCTTTTCATGGACGACGTCTGGAGGCTGCCGCTGCTGCTGCTGGTCGTCCTATTGCTCCTCCTCTTGGTTGTCTTCCACGTGTGCATCCTCGGCGGCCTTCCGCGACGTGGCCGCAGAAGGAGGTGTGTGAAGAGCAACGACAGAATGGAGGGCCGGAGGGCGATCAGTGGGTCCGCAGGGGGGTCTGGGCACAGCCCGTCGAATAGTCGAAGGCCGTCGGAGCGGACCGGGCACGCGCACCTGCCTCCGCACTTGCAACCTCTGCCTGACACGGACGACGAGGAAGGGGACGATAGACGGTCACGGACCGTGCCACTGGGAAGCGGATCCACCCAGGAGTGGGCGGCTACAGAGCTGTTTGGAAGCCGCGACGGCGGTAAAGGGCAGTCGTACACCGAGCTCCTCCAGCAGGGTCTCAGCGACACCGATGGCGATGGCGGCGTGAATCTGTCGTTTGGACTCGGCAGCGGGAGGTCGGCAGCCGTCTCTCGAACGGTCGTCGTAAACCCCCATCCCGACGACGATGGCGGCGACGTGACGGCTGTTCAGCGATCACCTAGGTCTCCAGCGCCGCTGCGGGAGGCTTCGGGGAACAACAAGGATCCTCCTAGGCAGCAATTTCGGTCGCCGTCTGTGTGTGGGGGTGCCTCCGCTCGCCCCCAGTGGATGCAGTCTCCGTCTCCACTGTCCGCCGGTTCGAGTGCAGGTCGTCGTCTTGGTGAGTGTAGGGAAACGGCGCCTGCCGTTGCTGATGTTGGTGACGCACGTGACGGAAGGGAGGTGTGGGCAGAACAGCGACGGTTGATGAGGTCGGTGCGGGAGGAGTCCATAACTCGTGGGGTGCAGCGATTTCTCGTTGGGGAAGACGGACACGACGGCGAGGAAGCAGTGGGGGACGCGCACGACCCCGACTGGAACGACAACGGCGCTGAAGGTGGGGAGGACGACGCAGGCTACATTTCGCCGTCGAAGCAGGCGGCCGCTATGGGGGGGAGGGGGGGGAAGACAAAGTCGTGTGCTGGTAATGGTCGTCGGGGCAAAAGGACGGCAGGCAGGGGCAGCGATGCCGAAGGTGACGCCGATGGTGAAGGAGGTCGTCACTTCTGGTCCGTCGACGACATTATAGCCCTCATCCGGGCTAATCGTGATCAGGATGCGCATTTGCAGGGGATGGGCCACGCGTACGCTCGGATGAAGCCGCGAGAATGGAAGTGGCTGGATGTGGCGACGAGGTTGAAGAAGGTGGGCGTCGACAGAGAGGCCAATCGATGCGGGAAGAAGTGGGACAATCTGATGCAGCAGTTCAAGAAGGTTCATCATTTCCAAGGACTGTCCGGGAAGCAGGACTTCTTCCAATTGTCTGGGAAGGACAGGATGTCGAAGGGCTTCAACTTCAATATGGATCGTGCGGTTTACGACGAGATACTGGGGTCGACCGCGAAGAACCACACCATAAACCCGAAGAACGTCGCGGACACTGGCGCTCAGGGTGGTGTGCGTCTGCTATCCGCCTCCTCTGCGGATCCTGAATCTGTGGGCGACGGCGACGGTGGTGCAGAGCATGACGACGACGACGACGGGTCCACGAAAGATTCTTCGCAGACGACGGGTGGCGCAGGCGGTTTCGGCAAGAGGAAGAGCACGAGGCAGCAAACTTTTGAGGCAATGACGGAGTGCATGGAGACGCACGGGGTGTAATGGTGTCAACGATGGAGAGCAACAACAAATGTCATTGCTCCATCGCCATACGACAGTGCGAGGCGCTGGAAGCGGAGATCGAAGTGCAGAAAAAACACTACGCAGTGTCAGACGAAGTCAGCAAGCTTATGTGTCACGCCTTGCTGGAGATAGCGAAGGCCATCGGCAAACGTTAGACTCAGTGTCGCTTCTGTTGTGCTCTCTGTTCGCTTGCATGGAATTTCACGGACCGAAAGTGATAGTCTTTCCGTCGTCGATGTAGCTTAGCTTAGCCATCGTCGTCGTGGTCGACGTGCCGTTCCCCCAATGGCGGTGCTGGGCAAGGAATTGGGCACTGGTCCGATTCGGTGGATGAGTCCTTCAGTGAAATTTGTTTTCTTTTGTAAAAATTGTTTTATTTTTTACATTGTTCGGCTCGTTTGTTGTTGGAGTCGATCGTGTGACGGGACGGATGATACCGTCAACTCTGAATTGTAATTGGCATCGATGAAGTGCAGTATGCACTTTCCTTTTTTAAATGACGACATCGATTTCGTTATCTCTCTCTCTCGTTTCTTTTTGTCTTTGCCGTAAATGAAATGCAGAGGTGTAATAAAGGTGCTGTCTTTAATGCCGTTGTTTCTCGTTTTTTTTGTGTCCAATCGAAATCGGCTCCCTCTTTCTCTCCAGCGTGTGTTTCGGTGTATTCTCCAGAAATGAAATGCAATGGTGCCATGAAGGTGTTGTCTGTGCTGCCGTCCTTTTTTGGGTATGCGTTTGCTAATGTTGTGCATACACCCAGTTAGTCGTCGATTGAGTACAGGCGTGCTTGGGTTCGATCAAACGTCCCCCCGTATACCGGATGTCGAGTCATGACAACTGTGCGAAATGCACGCTGTTTTGTGCGTGTTGTGTTGGTCTGTTTACCTGTTTTCGTTATCTCGTACATAGTCGTGCGGGGTGCTTTATTTCGGAGTTCGGGAGGGGGAATATTGAACCCGTCTAGGCGAATATGCATGCCATGTTGGGGGGTCGGGG